AAAATAAATGAACTTAGAAATATACGCTGCCGAACTTAAAAACAAATCTGTATAAAATATTAAATAATCAAATCAAATAATAATCGATCAATCAATCAATAGTTAAATATCAAATAAGGTGTTAGTATTAATTTTTTTTTTGAAAAATTAAACTCTATTAAATTCTTTTCCTTTTTACGAATTGAACGTTATTTATAAATCCAAATATCCCAATTTACTTTAGCAAAGTCATATCTAATTTTTCAGTGTATATTACTTGACCAAGCGCGTTTAATATTTTTCAAACACACGTCGAGCAAATAGTATCATATTTCACTTTCACTTGATACATTAAACAAAAGAATTTGATAATATTTATGTAAACCGTTAGTTAGTAAAACAATATTTAAAGAATTTATATTTTGCGCTTTTTGAAAGCAATAAACTCGTACACTCAAATGAACTTGATCTTGACCTACTAACTTAAATTCTTTATATTCAACTAGTTAGTTAACAATATATTTATTATTTCTTCGAATAATTATATCCAATTCATATAATCGACTGATAATTACTAATCTCTGTTATGCCATATTGTATCATATGTTCTGTTAGACAGTATAGTTTATATTTTTAGTGCAATATTATGGTAATTAAAAAACAATTATATAGAGAACATCATATAATGTGTTAGTATGTATTTTTGAAAAAAATTTGTACTTGTCATCTCTTCACATATATCATAAAAGCAATTCACCTATCTTAATTTAGGATTCTAAGTCTCGGGAAGGAATTGATATGAGGTTATTTTTCCAGTGATACAAGACAAAAAAAAAAAAAATCTACTATATACGAATAATTTGTGTAAAACCACTAACAAGTTTATATAACAAAGAGAGAAAAAGGATTTTCTTCCAGAAGAGGGAGTCCTGCACTCCACACAATATTTACTGGATACCTCACTGTTTCTTTAATCTGTTGTCGTCTTAGGAAAGAGAAGAAAAAAAATTGGAATGTCACTGGCGAAATGAAACGATGAAGGCTTCTTATAGCTACAAAACTTGCAAAAGTTTACAAGGATACTGAAGAAGTGACTTAATTATCCCTATTTACCGAAATTCCCCCAAACCGGGACCGCTGTCACCAATGTAATAATCTGCTACAGATTTACGAGAAGTGGAGAGGGATTAAGGACTTCTATGTATAGGGTCCTGTAAAGACTGTCACCAAATGTAAAATACAATAGATCCTCACGGGATGCTAACCCTGCGAGCGGCTGCAAGGAATACTGGTCACACTGGTCTGGAGGGCTGGCTCGTCTTCGTGGATTTACGAGAAGATAAGGGATTTCGGGATAGGGGTAAGAACTCCTCGGTCTCAGGTCCTGTAAAGAGTAGAGGTTATGGGCTTACTTTTGAAGCCGGAGATATGTATACGCAGAATTCTCGTGTTCTCCTAGTCTCTAGTGAGTCGGACGAAGGAACATTAAAAAAAAAACCATATTAGAGTCAACAATATATTGAATCTACCCTGAAGTTCCTAATACAATCGTTAACACGTTATTCTGCGCGTCGGGAGACGATGTAGCAAGATAGTGAAAAGTTGACAGAGGTACAAATATAATTACACAGGTTAGTATAAGAAATCTGTTACCTTATGTGTATATTAGGGCTTCAACCACGACACGTTCAGTCTTCTGGAACTCGGTCAGTTGAGGGTTGCGAACTTTCGAGCTGCCACAATAACCGGACTACACGCGAATTCTGACAGAAGATACCCGGCCCCCGGAAAATCACCGACTGTTCGCGTACTGGACGCTATCGCGTCCGGCGATCACTGCCCTGAGCGGCAGTTACGGCGCCCCCGTTATCACTACTGATTGACTGACTACTGACTACCGACTACCGACTGTCTGGCGTCCGTCGTTTTTTCTTGTTTTATTGTGGTCGTACTTTCAACGCCGGTTCTAGTACCAAGGTCGTAGGTTCGCTGAGTTGCAGTTTTGGCGTTATGTGCCTATTTGGGTCACGGCTGTTGTTGTTAATAGTTTCGTGCTTTTTATACGTTTAAACAATTATCAAACAATGCCATAACTAGGTCAATTGTTATACTTTGTATAATTTAAATGTATAAGTTAACTGTATTAATTATCCCTTATTTAATTTGGAATATATAATAATTATCTCGAATAATTATTATCTTTTCTATGCTACTTATTGTTCCATTATCCCTTTATTCCAACTTCTCACTCACTTGCTACGCTTACATTACAATAGTCGATCTTCAACAACTTGTCACTATAATCGGAGAATACAGTAAGCGAATGGGTTTAGAGATTGATATAAAAAAAACCAAATTTATGGTCATCTCTAGAAACTTGGATGCACTTGAAAACTCCACCATAACACTACTAAGTCCATTGAAAGAGTGAGTAAATTTAAATACCTGGGATCGTGGCTTTTTAAAGACTGGGCATCGGACAGGGAAGTAAAATGTCGCATTGAGCAAGCTCGACAAGCTTTAGTAAAATTCAAGAAGGTACTGACTTGTTCAGAGTTCGATCATCAATTGAGACTAAGGTTTACTAAGTGCTACGTGTGGTCAGTGCTGCTATAGGGCGTAGAGGGCTGGACACTCAAAACGAGGGATATAAACAGATTAGAAACTTTCGAAATGTGGTTCTATCGCTGTGTCCTAAAAATACCATGAATAGCGAAAATCACAAATATAGATGTCCTTAAAGAATAAACCAAGAACGCCAACTTTTCGAAACCACCAAGAAAAGAAAAACGGCGTATCTAGGTCACATCATGCGAAATGAAAAATACCAGTTCCTTCAACTTATAATCGAGGGTAAAATTGAAGGCAAGAGAGGAATGGGACGCAAGAAAATGTCCTGGCTCCGAAACATAAGGCAATGGACATTGATTAACGACATACAATCTCTGATACATATTGCAAGAAATAGAGAATTAACGGAAAATGTGATCGCTAACACCCATTAGTGGATTTGCATCTGAAGAAGAAGAAGAAAAAGTTAATTGCTACCAGTGACGCAGCAACACTTGGATACATTTCTTGCAGAAATTTATCCATACTGTGGGGCGAGCGGCTAGGTGAAGTATAACTTCAGCTAGAAATATTATAAACTTACTTCTTAAGTACAACTACAGTGCTACAGAAGGCTATCGGCTTCAGACAATGAAAGAGGAATTAGCTTAGTGATAGGGCTAATATATTCTCCATCAGCAGTACGGATACGAACAATTCTAATTTTTCCATCTTTGCTGCTAATTTATTCTATCACTCTTGCTAGGGGCCACCGTAACGGAGGTATATTTTCACTTGTGATTAGAACTAGATCATTTACTTTCATATCTGTGGTGGGAAGGAGCCATTTTGGGCGATGTTGTAGTTTACTTAAATAGTCAACAGACCAACGTTTCCAAAAGGATTGCTGTATTTTCGAAATTTGCTTCCAGACAGAAAGTCTGTTAACAGGCATATTTGTAACATCAATCTCAGGAAATGCGGTTAAGGGAATACCGATTAAGAAATGCCCAGGAGTTAATGGTTGTAAATCATTAGGATCATTGGATAATGCATAAAGCGGTCGAGAATTTAAAATAGCTTCTATTTGGGTTAAAAGGTATATAACTCCTCGAAAGTCAAAACCAAATTACGCATTAAATGTACTAAATGAAACATGGTACTTTTTACTGCTGACTCCCAGAGTGCTTCCACTGAGGTGATCGGAGAGAAATAAACTTCCACTGAATTTCAGTTTGAGCTAAATAAGCCCCAATTTTGTCAAATGCATAATTTGATTTGAAAAAATTACTTAATTCCTTAAGTTGATTACTGGCACCAACAAAGTTAGTCCCGTTGTCACTATATATAGTGTGGGGATTACCTCGACGGGAAATGAATCGTTTGAACGTTGCTAAAAAGGCGTTAGAAGAGAACTCACTAACCAACTCTAAATGAATGGCCTTGATGAATGAATGGAAAATTGCAAAATAACATTTAAGTGTTTGCGCCTTTCTTAATCTAAAAGCCCTAATAAACAGAGGGCCTGCAAAATCTACACCTATAGCGTAGAAAGCGCGCGAGATTCTAACTCTATACAATGGGAGTGGAGACATAAGTTGTGATGCGGTTTGTCCATTGAATCTATAACATGTAATGTATAATGCTTTTAACATAGTTGACCCCACTTAAAGGTCAGTATCGTAGGCGCAGATTGCCTAACACATTTTCAGGACCACTGTGTCCTAGTCTACAATGTTCCTTTTTAATAAGCAAAGAAACAACATGATTATTTGCAGGCAACAATATAGGGAATTTATTATTAAAGTCTATATCTATATTAAAGGCATTTTGCAAGCGCCCTCCAACACGTCTAATTCCAGAGAAATCTAAAAAGTTCGAAATTTCATTACGTGTCAACGTACCCTTAATTTTTTCATTACTGTGTTTCATATTATATACAAACCTAAATAAGTAAGCTACTGCGTTTTGTAATTTTGAAAATTTAGAAAATCTTTCAAACATAGTTATACATTTCTTACAGAAATTTATCCACACTCGAAACCACCTAGAGCACATGCTAAAAACTGTAGAAACTTTTGAATCATATCAATATTACTTTGGACTAGATAACTGTCGTATTCCAGACATAGTCAAAGCAAAGGTTAGGGTTAACCTTCGATTCGATATGCTTCTCTTTCTGCTTTAACTTATAACTTATTAACCAACAAATAAAATGTTTGCCATGTATTGAAAGGAGAGGCACATGTCAAAGGGAAAGACATCTAAAGGAAGACGAATAATCTCGTCGTTAAGATACCACCGTGAATGATTGTAAATATTACGAACCTCCCTCCGCCGGGGAAAAGATTAATTTATCTTTGATTTAGATTCTTTAATAAACTATACCTATACAATTGGTGTATATTACATATTCATTCTTAATGGAAATAATCCCACCTGTCCAGGAATCTATAAATAAATGTACTTACGCTCTTTTTAGTTCTTCATCAGAAGGAACCAACTGCGTTATGTTACAATGCAGTATCATTAAATCTGGGTGTGCATGCAACACAATTTCATGCGTTTTATGTTGAATGGTCACGTTTATTTTCACCCCTCCTTCGAAATAACCATCTTTTGGAAACGGTTGTAAGAATAGATGGTATCCTGATGGCGAGGTGTCGTGAGGTAACCTTTCTTGCGATATCAACCCATGGGCTGCTATTAAATCTATACTTCTTTTTTCTAATCCACTAACCTATAAGTATAAATATCGCATTAATCACTTCAAAATATTTATTTTTTATCAAAACAGCGACAATTGAACAATGTGTTTTTTTTTATAACGTATATTCAGCAATAAACAGGCTAATAATAAGCGTCTGTGGGGTTCGATATAAAAATTGACTTTAGAGAGGTCAGACCACTGACTGGACCTCTGGTATGGAACAAATATGACATTACGATAACATGCTATATACACACACACTTCAGAATTACAAACAATACAATTTATGAGAAAAGGCAGCAAATATTTGATTTCACGCAAACAAATCCTATATATCTCTTGATACGTATTTCGACCTAATAGGTCTCGTCAGAAGAGCTATTCATTCAAGGGGTTCTCAACGTGAAAAATCAATATTTTCTGCCTTTTAAGAAGCAACAATAACATGGCTTCAATACGGACGCACTAGCGACATCTAATTAAACAATCGTAAAATAGTTTCAAAACACAATTCAGATTTCTGCTTTATAATCTGAGCCTTCGGATTTACTCTGTGCGAGTACTAGAAGCACAATTCGCTAAGGATTTCTGCTTAGTTGTAAAAGACATGTCGTGGAAGGCAAATTTTAGATTCCCCATGTCTCTTTTAACATCTTTTATCAACGTCTGTTTGCCTTGCAATTTTTAGAAGGCTCAGATTATAAAGCAGAAATCTGAATTGTGTTTCGAAACTATTTTACGATTATTTAATTAGATGTCGCTAGTGTGTTCGTATTGAAGCCATGTTATTGTTGCTTCTTAAAAGGCAGAAAATATTGATTTTTCACGTTGAGAACCCCTATGAATAGCTCTTCTGACGAGACCTATTAGGTCGAAATACGTATCAAGAGATACATAGGATTTGTTTGCGTGAAATCAAATATTTGCTGCCTTTTCTCATTTTATTCTGATTTACTCTGTGTGAGTACTAGAAGCACAATTCGCTAAGGATTTCTGCTTAGTTGTAAAAGACATGTCGTGGAATGCAAATTTTAGATTCCCCACGTCTCTTTTAACATCTTTTATCAACGTCTGTTTGCCTTGCAATTTTTAGAAGGCTCTGATTATAAAGCAGAAATCTGAATTGTGTTTCGAAACTATTTTACAATACAGTTTATATCTAAAATATATACACAATTACGGTGAGTTAGAACACTTATTTATAAATCAAGTCTAATGGTTTTTTACGTTTTAGTCTTTGAGTTTGTTGACTGTTATAGAGCGAGTTTATTGCCAGAGCTTTGGATGGTTTTCTTGACATCTAGGTACCGAGCGCTGCGCTGAACTATCACTTTACTGATCGTAGATATTTCTAGATCTCAATAATTATCTTTGTTTGACACAACTTTGTTTTTATACCAACAGTTTTTTTTTTGAATGGACAACTTCAATGTTCTGCCTAGTATTCAATAGTGTTTACGAAATTTTAAGTTAAACTGTTAACGCTTTTCTATAAATAGATTCTCTAGATTACAAAGTAAACATTGACTATGGGACGTATTTTTATTTTGAAGGGCAACTTTTCATGCCAGACTTTCGCAAAAGCCTGACTCACATCAAGAAAAAGTGTTAAGCAGTATTTTTTCCTTAAAAGTTTTATTCACTATCAGCTACTCTATGTACTTGTTTTATTGTTGAATGCCTCTCTCTGAAACTAAACTAATGATCTTGGAAAAGATTACTAACAGTTATTAGCTTCTCAAATAGTTTAGCAATTATCGCTAAGAGACTAATAGGATGATAAGAGAAATGTTCGTGAGATGGTTTACCTGGTTTATGGATCATTATTATATCAGCAATTTGTCGTTCAGTTGGTACAATTTTGAGCTTTGTTGAGGTATTGAAAAGCTGTGTTATCATAACTATTTATTTTTCTGAAACTCTTTTAAGATAGTTCTTGTAATAAGGTCATATCGTGGAGCTTTTTTGGTTTTATTCTATATTTAAAAGCACTTTTTATTTTGCCATATCTTCCTTAGTCGCTTCTTCTTTTTAATTTGATTTCTAATATTGATCGGGCAGTTTCTTTTATTCTATATAGCTTTACATTCTGGAATGGCATTCCAGGCAGCTTCTTGAAGAAGTGTAGTAAATATGTATAATATCATTTCAAGTTAATTTTTTGTTTTTAGGGAAATATTAATGTTTATTTTTGATGTATTATTTCCCTATACAGATTCCAGTTTGTCCTGTAATTGTGCAGTTTCACTGGACGTTCTTTCTTAACAAATCAATTTAGCATCGCTATTACTGGGGTAAGGTCTAAAGCAATTTTATAATTAGGTACAATATTTAGATAGCCCTCCGCAAAGCCTTTGCTTACAAAGAAATCAAAATAGTCAGGAAGTTTACTGGACTCAGTGGGCCAGTAAGAAGGTGTGTAACTAGATAAGTATTTAAGCTGTAGATCCTTCATCACTTCAAAAAGGATTGTACTCTACCTCTACTTGGTGGAGATAGTCAAGAGCCCCAACCTAGATGTATTGCATTATAGTCAGCACCAACAAGAAATTTATTACCTAGTAAATTAAAATAATAAGTAAATGATTCTTTATTATAGGTGATAGTGTTTAATTCCTCTTCGAATAATCACCGCTGCATCTCCTCTAGCATGTAACTCAACTGGATTTAAAAATAAGGCGTTGCTATAGCAAAAGATAAAGATAGTACATGTTATTGATTTTAACTGTTGCAATTGTAATTAAGCATTTGAATGTAGATGAAGAATAAGAAGAAAGGGAAAAATTACTTACTACTGTTATATATCCTAAGATTAAGGGAAGGTACCACCTCCGCATTTTGTATAAATCTAGAAATAAGAAATAAAAATTAGTACACAATAATCTTATAGCTGTATCTTTAAAGTATCTGACCATTATTCACAGCTTCAAGATGCACCAGAAAACATGCATTAACAAAAATATAAACGCAAGATTCAGAAGAAATTCTGAATATAACAATAGACGAAATACATCACTCTTAGAAAGTTAAAAAATGGTAAAGCACCAGAAGACAATCGAATAACAACAGAAGCAATAGAGAATTGAAGCAAAGAACTAATAAATAAATACAAAAACTATTTAACCTATGTCTACATAAACCAGAAATCACTGAAAAATAGAATACGGCCATGATGGTCATCTTACACAAAGAGGGAGACCCAACTGACCTTGAGAACTACCGAACCCCAGTATCCTGTCAAATCTCTTTATAGTTTTTATACACGAATACTCACCAACAGGATGCAAAGAAGACTCGATTTCTATAAACCTCAACAACAGACTGGATTTCGCTCATATATAGTATAAAAAATTACCAGAAATGTCTAAAGACCTTATTTAAAAAAGGATCGAATGCGCCGGACACCCGGTGCTGATTTTTATAGCAGTCGCTAGTCTTTCACCATTAGAGTAATGTAAAATCGATTATCGCTACTCCAACTATTATCAGACATATATATGAAAATTCAACAGCCACTATCAATTTACATGTAACCACAATCATCACACGATGGTGTTCACACGTGACAACGGATGTCTTAAGAAAAGCTTAAGACATGCCCATAAAACTTATTTCATCAACAGATGGGCGGATATGGCAAATTAAGATGTATTTTTAAATTGGTGGTGCCCATTAACTTCACAAGAAGAGCATTTAATCAATGTGTCTTACCAGGCTCCTTATATAAGAAGAAAAAACTCTTACCTTTACTAAAAAAAAAAACAGTCAGACAATTAAAAATGACTCAAAAAAATAAAACGCTAAAACATGCATGGCATAACACTCTCGTGGCGATGCGTAACTTTTTCTAAAGTGTTACCAAAACCAAGTAAAAAGTTATATTTAAAAAAATATTTTGAATCTCCCAAATATAAGTTTTTGTTTATTTTAGGTATTTTATATTATTTTACGGACTGGACTAGGCGACTGGTGTATCGTATGATTAATATTAATATAAGTGGGATAAAAGTAAACGAAGTGCAAAAATGACAAAAAAAAAAAACAGAATCGTAGAAAGAGGGTTTTGTCAATAATGTATAAAAAGCGTTTCTCAATGATAATTAAAAAACTGACAACATTTGATCTTGCAATTGTTTATTTCTTTGGCATATTTTAATCCGCTTCATTGCTGAAAAACTTCTTTTAACGGATGTACTTGTAGCCGAAATTGTTAAAAATATGTTCGTCAATTTAAACGCTCCCGGAAATGCATTATCAAGCTCTGAAGACTTTAAAATAAATATTGAAACAATTTTTGTACATTTTTTTAATATAATTTGGATCATTATAAAGAATTGTTAAATTATGTTTCAACTACTTTACTTTGTCAAATATTTGTCTATATAGCTTTACCAGTTGATGAAAGGCGCTATATTGAAATTTTTTTGCATAATTAAATTTTAATTTAAAATTGTCAAAATCATATAGTGCCAAACACACTACATGCTTTAAATCAGAAATCCCATTTTTAATAGATAATTCGTTAACTCTTATTGGGTTTGAGGACATCACCATTTACAAAATCTTCTTATTTTGACCATAGACTTTCAAAATGATTCCACTCTAATTGCAAAAATTCAAGAAATTCATTAACCTTTCTCGTTCAAAATCCAATGAAAATAACGAAAGAAATTAAAATCAAATTCTTGCAATGTCATGTAAAAACAAATTCATTCCTGTCTCTCCATATTTTGCTGTGTCAGTATGCATTTCTTTAAATAGTTCGAGAAGCTCTGAACTAATACAAGAGATAGTCTCGACAAAATTTACCAGCATACATCTACATTGTTGCTGCTACTTTGGGTAAACGTTTTTGTACTAGTTTATTAAAAGCAGCAGCCCTTTTGTACAATTTTGAAAAAATGCAGCAAGTTCTGATACATCCGGCGCCTGATTGAATACAAAGCCAACATCTACACCTTGCACAATCGGGACTTGTCACAACAGCTGTTATCGTTGGAAAGGAGTATTTTGCGTAAAGTAAACAGCAAGCAATAATTCGACCACTCTTCCGTACGAATATATCAACTTACGAACATCCCAACGATACTTGGGAGACTCATCTCTCTGTGTAGGAGTTTCACACTACAAACCATCAGGGGCTAAAACTTCCAAGCTTAAAACATAATCAAAACTACCTGCTCATCTTACGGAAATGTATTCGTCAGACATCCCAAAAGAAAACTACCATTACTACCCACAAAACTGCTAGCCTCTGCCAGCAATGAACTTTCTGACGAATATATTGACATCTCTTTTTTATCGTACACCTAGCAAAATAGGTAACTTTAAGACCTCTTCTTTACATACGGACAGAGATAGATCTGTTTTCTACGGTCTCCCGATCCTATTTGCACAATTATACCCGTCCAATGAGAGGTTACAGACACAGATGTCCTCAACTCAAACATAAAGCAAAAATTTCATAAATAAATAAATTTATTTAATCATTCATTCAATCATTCAACTCAGTCACAATTTTTAAAACAAAATTCTGCAGGCCACCAACAAACCACCACCTAATACCATTAAGACAAAAAAAAAACCGGTACTGCCATCCACAAAATACAACACGTCCTGAGGGGGAGACAAACAGGACTTCCAGAACATCAAATAAAGAAAAACACACAACCAACATAACCCAAGCAATAATGAATGAAAGACCTCGAACATTAGTTTAGTCCTAAGTTTGTAACTTTTTCGTATTTTCTTCAGATTATTGGGATATAGTTCTCCTCACCTCCTCTTTGGACCATTAGCATTTACTTCTCCTGTATCCTAGGTCGCAATAATTTTGGGATGCTGTCAGCGGAGTCACTGGAATCCTGGTTCTTTGTAGACGTATTACTATCTACTCTCTCCCTCCTTTTTCCCGTCTTAGAACTAGCTATATCGGCTATAAAACTACCAAATTCACAAAAAAAACGAAGAGTAAAACATTACGAAATTACGAACGAAAGTTGTATAATTTTGGGACATACCTCGTATGTTGTACAAAAAAACTAATGGACACATTAAACACGGAAATGATAATCATCCAATACAAATAATCGATAAATGTTAACTTCCAGGAGGGAGAAGGTAATATGACCTAATGAGAGATAGACAACACATGTTTGTGAACTTACTTCAAGCTTCACATACTGACAGAGAGAGATCGGTTTTCTATGGTTTACCGATCCCATTTGCACAATTATACATGTCCATTGAGAGGTTACTGCTAAAGCTGACGTCAATTCATTTAATCATTAAACTCAGACTTCTTCTTCTTAACGTGCCCTATCAAGTCCCCTTGACGTTGGCGATTAACATGGCGAAACTGTCTCTGTCTCGAGCTATTCTAAATAGTTGCTCAGCTTTCTTTCTTCCTGTCCACTCAAGACTCCTGTAAACCTGTAAATTCCTGTAAACTCAGACACAATTCATAAAATAAAAATTAATCTAAAAAGAACCGTTTTCAAGCTCTTTATCCACTGAATATCCTTTGAAGACGACTTCCTCCGCTGGACACAACAAACCACCACCTAATACCAGGACCAACAACAAAACTAGCGCCGCAATCTACAAAATACAACACATTCTGAAAGAGCAACATCTAACAGATATTGTCCTTTTATCCAGAATATCTACCCAAGAAAAACACACAAGCACCACAACCCAAGCAACAATGAGTGAAAGACCTCAAAGAATAGTTTACTTTTAAGTTTGTAAGTTTTTCATATTTTCTTCAGATCATTGGAATATAGTCCAGTCGTCAGAGGTTTGACCCCTAAAAATCATACGAACAAACTGGATTTTGTCAAGAATATCCATTTTGGGACCCCTAAAAAGATGCAAAAAAATTTACCACTTTGACCCCGGGCCTCCCCTTAACCCTCCCCAAGTGGGGGATAAAAACGCAAAAAAATCGATTTACCAAGAATCTGTACGCCGTAGAAAAATTTTTTAAATAAAAATGTAGCTGAGATAATTTTGGACAAAAATGTTTATTGGCACTTTTTGGGTAGAAATAACGTTTGAAGTTTCCGGCGATTTTGAATGTCAATTCTGCGCGCGAAATATATGTTAAATAAAATTTATATCAACTCAACGGTAAAAAGTCGATATCTTTTATCAGAGTGTTCTATCGACAAAAATAAAAATGTGTTTTAAAGGTGGCTAGTGCAGATTTCGTACCCAATTCTTGTATTTTGCTGCAAATGTTTGATAAAAAATTAACTTTGTGCGATCTTTGCCGTTTTTTTTATGATTATCTTGAGATCAATACAATTTGTTACTTTCATTGACCGGTCGTAGTGAAATTTCCATTGTTGGAGATCAGTCTTCAAAACCTATAACATGAAAAATGCCTACAAGAAGACGGTTTTGGGGGTATAATTTATGGCAGAAGTTAAGTTCTTTTGAAAAACGTACTAGCGTAATTAACAAAGAGCAGTTTTAAACGTTTTGAAGATTAGCTTCTAGTTATAGAAACTTCATAGTGGCTGGTCAATAAAAGGGATATATTGTATTGATTCCATGAGTTCTGAGATTTTACGTCTCATTCTCATTGATCTCATGTTTATTTATTTAACACATCTTTAAAAACTATTTGTTTGCTGCAAAATACAAAACTTGCATACGAAAGCTGCACTCATTACGTTTAAACCGCATCTTGACTTTTGTTAATAGGACACTCGGATCAAAAGATGTGGAATTTTTACCGTCGGGAGTCAAAATCTCCGATCGGTTTAATCGGTGTTTCTGAGAAAGCTCGTATTCGAGAGACATCATATGATTTTTAGGGATTCAGTACCAT